ACTTAAACCTGAACCGAGAGAGGCTTACTTTTGAGGAAACATGTTTAGAAACATATGACATGAAATTTCTTGTGGAATTGCTCTTGCAGGCAAGATTCCACTTCATTAATTGCATCTGATGAAGCAAGACCTTGTCTACAAAATCTCATACTACTAAAAATGTGTTAGCTATTAAGGCTGTTTTGCTTTGCTATGGCAGGCTAACAGCAATAGTCTTTTGAATTGTGTTATTCAATCGTTGGGAGCCCCAATACAAAAGGACTTCAGGGAAGAGTGGTTTGACTTGCTAACCTTCTACCTCCTTTCAGCTCTAGGAGTCTTGCCAGTTATCTCCTAAAAAAGTAAATGGTAAAAATTCGGAGGGAGGTGGGAGTGTTAAGAAATAGTAGTCATTATATTCCAAGAGCTGGACTTTCCAACTGGCTTCTTGACCCTATTGGCTTTGTTGTTAATCCCGCTGACATCAATGGATTGCAACACTATATTGAACTGGGGCTTTGTCCCTAAATATGTTTTCATGCCAGGACTCAAACCTGGAAACTATTAAGTATCTTTATGCTGCAATCTTTTAACAACCCTGTAAATTAGACGGGTCATCATCCCCATTACAGATGGGATGCTGAGAGAGGACAACTTACTTCTACTATCAAATGAGTTGGGCGCTTTCCCATCATGCCGCACATATGCCTGTCTCTGAGCATATGCAAAACGCCTTTCACTTGCCACTGAGGGAATCCAATCAGCCCCACTCCACCCACTTTGAGAAAGCCAGAAACACAGAGCAGGGCTTGCGCGGTCCTTCCAGCCTTTTGGGAAATTAAACTTTCCGAAGTTTAATTGATGTGATGTTCTTGGGTGGGTTACTAGGAGGGCAGACAACAACTCTTGAAACTCGAGTACCATAACCGCTGCCCCATCCAGACATTGTTGGCTACAGCTCCCATTATTCCTGAACAATGGCCATGCTGGCTGGGTCTGATGGGAGTTGGCGTCCCTCAACATCTGGATGGCCACCTTTGCCCACCTCTGGGCGAGCATGTGGCTGATCTATGTCCCTTCCTCACCCTTCCCTTCGGCAGTCATTAGTGCAAGCAAAGTACAGCTTCCTTGCTTTGTGTTGTAATCTCCAATGACAACCAGATCTCAGCCTAAGGGTTTTTGGTTTTTTTAATAATATTATTTTCTGGCAAAGCCTCTTCCTCAATGAGAGGGTGATCTACCCCACCCCACCCCACCCCTGCCTCTAGTTGCATCAACGAAGCCAGTGCATCCGGTGGTGCTTTGCGGCCAGGTAGGGGAAAAGGTGATCACAGGGTGGGTCGCTGAGCAGGGCCAGATTTAGGTTTGATGAGGCCCTGAGCTACTGAAGGTAATGGGGCCCTTTATATGTCCAGCTGTCCTTTGTCAACAACAAATTGTCGCTGTTTTTTTGTGTTGAACATATGCTATATGGTAATTTATGGACCTAATAGGTATCTAAAGCCATTTGCCACTGTTGCTGTATGTAGGTTTTATTTTATTTGGTTTTTTTATCTTATATTTTGGAAATGTACATCCAGGTTTCCTCCCCCTTTAATTTTCGGGGGGGGGAGCTCCAAGAGAGTGGGGCCCGAAGCTATAGCTTGTTTAGCTTATACGTAAATCCGGCACACTCACAGTGTGTGAGTCAGGTGGGCGCCTCTCGTCGGCAGCTGGATTTGAGAGGGATTTTCCCAAGGAAACGAGGTCAGTGGGTTTTCTCTCAGGCCGGACAGGCGCGGGGCTCGGGAGCGCGCGCGCCTCCCTCCCTCGAGGCGCCTCCCTCTTCCCAGAGCGAGGGCGAGAGCGCGCGTCCCGCCGGTCTCCCTCGCCTTGCCCATATAAGGCCGCGATTGTCACAACGCGCCATAAATAGCGCGGCGATGTTGTCATCACCTGCCCGCTCGCGCTGGGTTTTTGTTCAGGGCACCTTTCCAGCCGAGCCAGATCCCGCCTGCCTGCAGTTAGCAATTCTCTCTCTCGCGCGCGCTCTCTCTCTTACCCCCACCCCCACCTCTTTTTCTCCTCCTCCCGCCCTTGCCGGTTGCAGTTCGTCTCCGAGCGGCGTGTCTCTGCACATCTTGCTGGCCGGGAGGAGGCCCCACACGCGAGCTCTTCCTCGCCCCGAAGAGGAGGAGGGAGGCGCGACTCTCTATTTTGCATTCGTTTGTTTTTCGCTCGATTTATACGCCGCTTGCAGCGCGGTTTGCAAAAAAAATATAAAACCACGAAATGGGGGGGGGGGGTTGCAACACGTTAAAACATACCAGAATACTCGAAGAGATAAAAATCCACACCAGCTTCAGTACACGGCATACGCCTGCCTGATATCAATAGGCAGAGGGGTGTTTCTTTTAATTTACATCGTAGGGAGCTTGATGCTCTCTTGCGTGGTGAATGAAAGTCGCATTAAGAAAGAAAAGCAATAAAATCTTAAAACCAACAGCACTATAAACCATAACCCACAGCATTCAAAAGTAAAATTATTTGTTAGATGTTTAATATAATAAATCAATTAATTAAATCAAAGGGGGGAGTACTCAAAGATGCAACAGAAGCTTCCTTATACTGAGTCCTTTGGCCCATCTTGTGCAGTACATTGTTGTATTCCAACAGGGGTGGGGACCTTCCGCATTCACTCACGGTCAATTTTCTGGGGGGTGCATGCGAGTGGTAGGCAGGGCCAGAGGCAAAACACTGGGTGCAGAGCAGTCGAGGCAAAAATCGGTGGACCAATGGGTCCTACCATGTACAGTGGGCTGCATTCCATCCAGATAAGTGGCAGAGGTTTTTGTATACACATACACACCTGAGGAAGCAAGAGGCATCATCAAGGACACATTCCAGCCAGGTGAAAGCATTAGAATTGTAGAGTTGGAAGATGACTCTCTGAGGGGAACGAAACCATCACCACATATAAAGTCCTTTCTGTCTAGGACTTGCTAGCCAAATTTCTGGAAATCAGAAATGCCCTTCCCACATCTTGCACACTCACCCAAGGGAATCTTAAGAGGGCTTGCTAAAAATTGGAAGGAGCAACTTTGGTTTGTGCAACGGCAAAATGATGTGAGATGAAGCTATTGGTTTCAGGAATTTCAACTCTTGAATAACAGCCTGGTCTCAGTAGTTTTGAGAACATAAATATGGTGATAGTGGTGATGTCAGACTAGGACTAGAGAGATTCAAGTTTAAATTCCCACTCAGCCATGAAACTCCCTGGTGACTTTATCCAGTCACTATCTTTCAGTCTAACTCACCTCACAGGATTGTTACGCAGATAAAATTGGGATGGGGAGAGATGTACATTGCTTTGACCTTTGGAGGAAAGGTGGAATGTCAGTGTAACAAATAATAAGCAGGCCTAAAATCTAGCCAAGCAGAACCTGTGTTTTCTTAAGGAACAAAAGGTTCTTAACCCAAATGGCTTGGCAAGCACATTCACCTGAGTCTTCTATTTTAGCCTTGTGCAATGCAGTTTCTAGACATTTAAAGATACCTTCATTCACACAGGGATGTCAAAATGGTCAGGGTACACCAAGCATGCCAAAGCAAACAAGTACTACAATGGAAGGATTATAGGAGTTCTCATGGCTGAATAAGCCTTTCTTTGGAGGATAGGGGATTTTCAGCGGCAACCAAAAAAACCTATCTAAGAGATGAGGCAACAGAATTAATTTAATGAGACATTATGGAGGAGAGCCTGCAGTGGTGCCGTCAGGACAGGTCCTGGGGCAGATAAGAACATAAGAGCACGGCTGGATTAGGCCAGCAGTGGCCCATCTAGTCCAGCATCCTGTTCTCACAGTGGCCAGTCAAATGTCTCTGGGAACCCCGAAACCAGGACCTAAGTGCAGCAGCACTATTCCCACTTGTGATTCCTGGTCCACAAAAGAACTGGTTATCTTATTCCATGACACTAAGTTTACTTAGGAGTCTCTTGTGAAGTACTTTGTCAATAGCTTTTTGAAAGTCCGAGTATGCTACGTCAACTGGATCACCTCTGTCTTTATGTTTGTTTACATTCTCAAATAACTCTATTAGAGTTGCTGGTTCCTCTTGAGCAAGACTTGTTCTTCTGTATGCCTAGCAATTTTATCTTTAACAATGCTTTCCACTAGTTTTCCTAAAACAGACATTAAGCTTACATGCCTCTCGTTTCCAGGATCTCCCCCCGGATCCCTTTTTAAAAATTGGCCACTTACTAGTCCTCAGGTACAGAGTCTGATCTTAAGGGCAAGTTGCATATTTTAACTAGGGCTGCACTTAGTAGAATGACTCAGAGGACTGGGAATTACAGCAGAGCTGGCTTTCCACAGTTTAAAGTAAAGAAGCAATACAAAATGCAATCTAAAAGAGGAAAGAGATAAGGCCTTAAGCCTAGAGCCAAAAATTCCCTAACTTCACCAGTGAAAGACTAGGTTTCCCTTAGATTCCTGGAGGGGGGAATTTCCTAACAGGAACGTGCCTGTTTTGCAAAGTTTGAAGTATATTTCATTGTAAATATCTCTTTTTATGGAACTTGCACTTACATTTCTCCACACTTAAAAATTTTGTTTTTAAGAAGTCACAAGGATGCCCAAAATGTATCTTTGCCACAAGGATGCCCAAAATGTATCTTCGTGAAACAGATACTTCCTGCACTTCACACAATGCAGTTATCATGCATTTTACTATATGTGGTTATCTCCCTTCAGGAAAAGTATGAAATACTCTGGCATGTAAGTGCACCTGCTCATTTGATGGTGTGGCACGACAGAAGACATCAAAAATATAAAGGTCATATCAGGTGTCTGCGCCTCTTTGGAAACATGTCCCTAGAGGAGCTAAGGTGTAGGACTTGTCGTTCCATGTCTCTCGGAATTAATTGCACAATGTTCACTGTGAGTCAAAGGGCATCTTGAACGAGTTGAGGCTGTAAAAGCATTTTTAAAAGCAACCTTGTGACTTGAGAGAGTAAATTCACCTCTATCCTCTTTTTGCAGGGTTTTGCAGCTTGGGAACTACTGCAGAAGGAAAAAGTTGGAAGCAAGCTTTGAATGCACAAAAAGCCAATTATGAAGTAGGATATTTAGCACAAATTATATGCTTCTATGCCAAGCTATGTGTTTATCCACTTTTGCCAGGACAGCCTTGACCCAGCCACCATGTCTGTAGACTTTTTCCATGCAAAGATAGAGGAGCTGGGTTGAACTAATTTAAGAGTACAAAAGGTGAAAGGTTTTGAGTGACCTCCCACAGCTGTCCTCCAGGGACTCAGTTATAAATGAAAACAATACATTCTTTTTGGAAATATATAACAACTTGGAACAAGGCATGCCTGTAATCTACAGCACACTTTGGGAGACCCAGAGCTCTTGGGAGGTAGAGAACAGAGAAGCATTTGGGTAGGAGAAGAAATGACAGGTCTCCTCTGATTCTCTGCCCCCTCAAGTGCCTTCTCTCTGCAATTCTTGGATTATGTTTTCTGCACTCACTTGGAGGAAAATTGCTGTTAGTATGATTGCTGCTGGCACCCTGCTTCTCAGCTGGATTGTGCCAAGCAGTGAAGTCATTGTAATGTTATCAGGATCAACTGTTAGCTCCCTTTCCTGGGGCAAAGCACAGAGGCCACTCCCTTCTCTGCAGGAACTCCCTGAAGCTGGCTGTACCTGAAGGCATGCTGAGTAACTATGCAAGGAAGTGGGAAGGGAAAAAAGTGAGACCTAAGGCCCAGCGGGGTCTTCACTCAGCCTGCACATCAAAATAAATACTGTAGAAGGGAAAGGAAGAAGTAATGATTGGTGTTCAGTTTCCCCCCAACTCCTGTGAACAGCAAGCTGAGCATTTCCCAAAGGGTCTCCAAAAGTAAAAATAAATAAATCAGCTGATAATTCTCCAGCAGTCAGGGGGCATTGCGAAATACTTAAGGGATGTCAGGCACAGGCCCATGATGACCACAAATTTACATATATTTTGTACATATGTTAATTTATAAGATGTATATTTTCAAATGCAGGGTGATTCTAAGAGGGTGAAAAACAAACTTTGGCTATATATAAATTAAGAAGACAGGTACCCCTTGCAGCATGACTAACCACTTTGTAAAAAAAAAAAGCCGTTTAAATGGGGTGGGGGGAGTTAAAGAACAGAAGAGGCATAACATATGTCTTATGAAAAGGTTTTAAAAAGGTACTTTTTCACATTAGAGAAGTAGAAATTGTTCTGCTCAGCAAGACTTCCATGACAACAGGAGAACTGTCAAATAATCAAGAGAGCAAGAATCGTTAATATGAGAAAGGATTCTAGCCACACTGCTTAATTGGAATTCTTTAGGGTTTATTTATTTTGGTTTTACCACCAGTTTAACTCCACTGCCTAATTAGCAATCCAAAAAGAAGCCTTTGTTAAAGGTTCTGCTGCACAAGACCCGAGGGAGCCCCTTTTGCATTCAGCACACTAGAAATGACTTTCTTAATTACCCCAAGTAACAACTGGTGCCTTCTTATACCATGTGAAACTTGGAGAGCTAGAGGCCTATGAAACTTGTGATCCACCAAGCTACTACTGCAGATGAAGCCAAGGTAGGCTACAAACCAAAATTTGAAAACTCCTTCTGTACATTAAATTGTTCCATATCTGTGTTGAACCAGTAGCTTATCAGTTCAAAGGGAAGGTTCTGTCACTGGTACTAGCTCAACTTGTCTTCTTTCACTGGTGCTGGGACTGGACCTTAGTAGCCCTTATGCTGAACAGCTGTACTAATGATGTGGATGGTACAAGGCCACCTGACATGGGATCCTGTAGGAGTAATTCATCCTTTTTGTGCAGGCACAATTCTGCCCCCAACCTTTTGTGTGATGCCACCCCCATATCCAGCACTTACATAAATTGTACATATTCCTAACTAAGAGTGCATAAAGACTGCAATGTCTGAACATTTCAGTGGCAAGTATTCCACCTGCTAGCATCACACTCATCTGCCAGCTGAACTTTGCAGGCTCCAGAACTGAATAAGGATCTTGTTTATTTGAAAGCTGCAGTGTTCAGGGTCCAGGTCTGTTCCAATGTCCCTGCCATACTTCAGGCTGAATTTCCCTGTCCTCTTCAGGTAGGGGAAAGAATAGGAAACAGGAGGCCTGGTAGAGGAGGAAGCCAAACTTGTTATATTTGTTTTTGGTACATGTAACATGCAAATACAACTTTTGAGATGACGCATGACAGAGCAGGGGATCCTCATGACACATCGCATCACATGTCAGAGCCAGTGTGGTGTAGTGGTTAAGAGCGGTAGACTCGTAATCTGGGGAACCGGGTTCACGTCTCTGCTCCTCCACATGCAGCTGCTGGGTGACCTTGGGCTAGTCACACTTCTTTGATGTCTCTCAGCCTCACTCACCTCACAGTGTTTGTTGTGGAGGAGGAAGGGAAAGGAGAATATTAGCCACTTTGAGACACCTTCGGGTAGTGATAAAGCAGGATATCAAATCCAAACTCCTCCTCTTCTTCTTCATCATCACATATATTCATAGTAATTGAGGGAAATGTCGTTTCAGATCTGAAGTTTCCTGCATATATTTCTGATATGCAGTGGTGCCTCGCAAGACGAAAATAATCCGTTCCGCGAGTCTCTTCGTCTAGCGGTTTTTTTGTCTTGCGAAGCAACCCTATTAGCGGTTTAGCGGCTATTAAAGGCTTAGCGGCTATTAAAGGCTTAGCGGCTTAGCAGCTAAAAGGCTATTAGCGGCTTAGCGGCTATTAAAGGCTTAGCGGCTTAGCGGCTAAAAGGCGCTTAGCGGCTTAGAAAAAGGGGGGGAGCGAAAAAAATCACAAGACTCGCAAGACGTTTCCGTCTTGCGAAGCAAGCCCATAGGGAAAATCGTCTTGCGAAGCGCATCGAAAAATGGAAAACCCTTTCGTCTAGCGGGTTTTTCGTCTTGCGAGGCATTCGTCTTGCAGGGCACCACTGTACAAACTAGCAACCCAAATGACTTACCAGGGCTGGCCCTACCGTTAGATAGACTTCAGGTTTGAGGTATCATTATAGGGCAGCAAATAGTTATTTTATTGTTATTGTAGTTTTTACTGCTAGGGAAGGGCAAGTTGCTTTGGGGATTCCTTTTGTTGGCCTTAGGCCCCAAAATAACTTAGCTGGCTTACTGCATTATGAACCTTGACTTTGGAGAAGGAAGGGGTATGTGCTATTTGCTATTCTGCCTTAGATAACCAAATGCTTTGGACTGGCCCTGGCAATTTACAACAATTTACAGCAAAGCTTTCCAAAGTTTTCGTGCTGGTGACACACTTTTTAGACATGCATCATTTCGCGACACAGTAATTCAGTTTTATTAGCAAACTGGAGGTTAAACTAACCCCTTTCCAGCCCTGGGAGGAGTGCGGGGAGCGTTTGTGTGACACACCTACACACTGCAGCCAACATACTAACATGTTGTGACACACAGTTTGGAAAGCTCTGGTCTACAGCAAGGATGAAAGCAGCAATATTGGTAAGCTAATAGCAGAGTGGCCTTGATTCATACAGCTATATACAGTAAAATGGCAGAATGTAGTAAAAAACCCCGCCATGTTTTACCTCCTACTACCATGTGGTTCCAGAACTAACTGATGAGGCCCAGGGCCCATAGTATGAGATAAAAGGGCAGCAAAAGAGCTAGTATGTTTGTGCAATAAGGTAAACTGATGTCACAAACAGAAGTGCACACCTGCTATTCTGGATTTTTCAAGGAGGCCACAATCACAGACTGAAAACCATGAGGTTTAAAGAGCAGCTCTACATTTGGCATCTTCTTTTTTAAGACAGGGGTGGCCACAGTGCATCACCCAAAAAGAAGAAATTCATCACCAAAAAGGGAAGGTGATAGATGATTTGTATATAATTTACATATTCTAATTTATATGTAGAAGATGCAAAATTAGAAAATAATCATTTAAATAGAAACACATCTGCTCAATCCTGCTATCCAAGTTCTCACTGTTGTCCAAGGGCAAATGCTAAGGCCCCTGCTCCCCAGTCTGAGGGCTCTTTATTGTAAAATCAGATGTAGACTGGACAGCCTTTCAAATAGAGGACTGCCCTCTGACAGCCCTTCAAAGAGAGGACCATCCTCTGTAAAGTAGGACATAAGTCCGCTAGTTCTGACAAATAGCTCTAGGTTGGTAACTGAGTCATTTCTATCAGTGCTGTTCCTCCTGTTCAAGTAATAACTGAAACAGTCGTCTGTTGCCTGGAGCTAGTCTTCTTCTGCTTCACATGGTACGACAACAGTGCCTCTCCTCTCCCCACCCCACACCTTATGAAAATAGTCTCCATCAGGATTTCTGCACTCTTCACTTTGCTTGGGAGGAGGCTGGCATAGCAACACAACACAGTGTGCTTAGGCTGTAGGAGTTTTATCACCTGGTGAGTAATCAATTGCACCTTGCAAAAACCCTTTTATACCTCAGACTGTTTTTTGAGCGTGGGTAGGTAATCTTAGTAAATGCTAGCCTAGGTATTTCAGTGATTCAGAACAGAAGTGGGGTGCTGCTCAGAGCAGAGAATTCTTACTGGCAGATTTAGGATTTATTTTCAATTCATGGGAGGCAACAAAATGATGGTTAAATTCTGGTGTCCTTATAGGTTTTGTGCTTTCAGGTAAGGCATCATTTGGTGCAGAGAGCAATGATGGTTTTACTTTGTCTCGTCTAGAGGTACTGAAATTTCATTATTACTCACTGGTTAGTTTTACTTCCTGCTTCAGTCTGGCGGAGCAATAAGAAAGGTTATTTCTCATTTCACTTTAATTGCTTTATTAATACCAGCAGTCTGTAACTTGGATATATTTTTGTATGAATTATATCTGGGTGTTTTTTGTTTAAATGATAGTATAAGAAGTTTGGGGTTATCTTCTGAGGCTAGTCTGTTTATTTGCTTTATGTTTTTCAGTAAACTATGTGTATTTCAAAGTACCCCAACATCTGTTAATTGCTTTGATAATCACCCCTTGAATTTAAAAGAGCTTAGAATTTCTGACTAGATAGAGTGAAATTAGGACGTCTATTCAGTGCTTTTTTTCTGGGGAGACCAGGGGTACACATACCCCTAAACATTTTGTGAATCTAAGTTTGGCCTTGTTTAGGGACAGTATTTCAATATGAGTAGGAAAATGAGAGTACTGTACCCCTATTACCCCTAAACAATTTTTTTAAAGAAAAAAAGCACAGCATCTATTTAAACTAACAATGGAGTTTTGACAGATTTTATTTAATTATTGCATTTATAACCCAACTTTTTCAACAACCCTGCAAAATAGGTTAGGCTGAGAGGCAGTGACTGGCCTGAGGTCACCCAGTGAGGATTTGAACACCAGCCTCTCAGTGCCTAGTCCAAGGCTCTAACCACTACACCTTCAATGGGTGGTACTATGAACAAAGCTTGCAAGGGACGTTGCACAAAAGCAGCTTACAGTATTGGGAACCAAGAGCAAGGCCATAGCTGCACTACAGACTAAAACGGGTACACTAGTCATTCCCTCCTGGAAGCCCTAGTTTGGTGTGGGAATGTAGGGATATGTAACTGAGAATGTTCTGCACTCTTGCCAAACTACAATTCCCAGAATTATATGGGAGAAGCCATGACAGTTAAAAAGTGGGGCAAAACCCACATACAGCTGTAGTATTACCGGTAATATGCTCTTAAATGTGTATTCACATCATATTTAGCAGATGTGGTTGGAGTACATATCCAAGATATCCTCAGGCACGCAAAGAGTCTTGCAACTGAGGGTTTCGTATTCAGCAATTCCGAGTTCTCAAAGCCAGCCATATTATTCTCACCCTCCAGGCCACTTGAAGTGTGGAGCGGAGACAGGAGCAGTTGAGACAGGCTCAGGAAATCAGAGTCCTACCACCCTCCCAGAAGCATTACTAACCTGGCAGAAACTGTATAGATTGAGCAGTCAGTTGCAAAATGGCTGTCAGGAAGTCAGAGTAGAGAGCCTGGGTTCTTGCACAGAAAGCTCTGCAAAATTTGAGAGTGAGTGGTCATGCCACAGATAGAATGAGGACTCACAAGTTTTTAATGTTTGATGTTATATTATGTTTTTATATATGCTGTAAGCCACCCAGAGTGGCTGGGGAAACCCAGCCAGATGGGCAGGGTATAAATAATAAAATCATCATCATCATCATCATCATCATCATCATCATTACTCATTACTGTGGGTTTATTTTTAAAACTTTTTATTGCACTGTCAGTAACAATTACATTTCCTAAGTATAAAATTGATTCCAAAATACAGAACCCTTCTATATTAATCATGAACATATTAATCGTACATTAAAGGCTAAATATCAGAAGGCACGGTAATTAGGTGGACCATCGAAAAGCCTATTTTACAGGAAGTCGTATAATATGAAAATCAATGTCAGTATGAGAAACAGAAAGATACCACTTAATGTGAAAAGGTTTAGCCATACATTTACAAAGCTGAATTTTATGTTGGTATTTCCACGGTTTTTCAGTCCCATACTCTCAGGTATCAAACAGCTGCAAGTTGGATGCTTATCTGTTTTCCAGTGCTGCACCAGTATTGTGCATACTTCCCTGACCATAGTAGTAATTTACCATGTAGTAAATGCTAAAGAAAATAGTGCAAGATCATCCAGAAGTGCTGTCATGGGTAAAGCTGACACTGTGCCCAAAAATGTTGGGAAAGGCTTTGATTCAAGGAATGAAATTATTAGATATTTGTTCCTGTAGATGCTTCTGAACTTTGCGCTAAACAGGTATCCCCACCACTGGTTCTGTATCTAAAGTCAGGAAGAATAACTCTTTGACGTCATCTTCATTGCTTCTTGGTTTTGAATCATAGGCTTTGATGGCTCATGCATCAAAGCCTCTGTAAGGTTCTGGATGCTTCTATCAGGCTTTGGCAAATTCCATAGTCCTGGCATCTCTGGGACATGCTGGAACATTTCCAAATACATATTTCTTTTGTCTTCAGCCAGAGGAGAATGGAATGAAAGCCACAATCCGAATTTAAGCAAATATTTGGCTATAATTATTATGTCAGGCTAGGCCCAAGGTAAACATCACACAATGAAAATGGAGGGAAACAAAGGTCCAGATGGTTGATGTCAACCCAGGAGAAGGGAGTGGTTGTGCTAAACAACTGCCTCCCCTCCCCACTCTTCTCTTTCACTGGAAATCTCACTGCTCTCCTTCTTTGAGCACTGTGACACAGAAGAAGGGAAGAAGGGAAACAACTGGGCAGAGTTTACTTGCAGCTCTTACTGGCTAGATTTGGGCAACCTGTTTCTCAGTCATGAACTCTGATTAGCGGACGGACATTAAAACATTATTTGGATCTGTTAACTGGCTGTCTGAACCTTTTGTGGTCCAATGGCCAATGATCCAGTGTGAATCCAGGAGACTGGATTCCACCTGCAATGCATTTGCTGTGTGGCCTTGGATGAGTAATCTTCTCTCAACTGCAGCTTCTCCTAGGTGAAGCGAGAACAATAGTGACCTACTTTGAAGGGTTCTTACCAGGACAAAAGGTTATAAAACAATTTGCATCTGTGCATCTCAATACGGCGCATGTTCTTTCAGAAGTAAATCTTACTGAGTTCAATGCTGTGCACTGTAGGCATTTCTGTGAATTCCTGGTTTCAGAACAAATACGTAGCCAAAGAGCTGCATTTCCTCATGGGCAACCTTCTGGAGGCCACATGCAAGAGTTTATTTGGTGGCAGCTCCAAATATTTTAAAAACGCAAGGAATGTCTGCTGAATCAGACCAAAGGCCTACCAAGTCCAGCATCCTGTTATCAGTGGCCAACCAGACAGATGTCCATGGGAAGCCCAGAAAGCAGAACCTGAGCACAAGAGCACTCTCTCCTTCTTCGCTTCCCAGCAACCAGAATTCATAAGTATACTGCCTCAAACTATGGAAGATGACAAGTGAGGAGTGGCTGTGGAACACTCCCCATCGAGATGTGCCTAGCAACATCTTTGTTTTCTTTTAGGAAACAGATGAAGACTCGCCTCTTCCAACAGGATTTTGGATGAGGGGAACTGTGACTGGAGCGATTTATGAATAGTTTGACACTGCTGCTTTTATTATAAATTGTATTGAGACTGCCGTTTTTAAGTTCTTGTGTTATGATGTTGTTTTATTATGTTGCAAGCTGTCCTGTGGCCTTTTGGAGAAATGTTGGTGTATACGTTTCTTAAGAAACAAAAGGATTTCCTGCTCCCCGCCTCCAATGCTAGCTCACACAATCCAGTCTACGGTGTGTTATAAACAGAACAGTTGAAGCGAGAAATGCCTTTGCAGAGCAGATAATTTCACCTTGGATCTGCTTCCCCGCCCAAAACAGGACACAAATGGCTGTCATCCATCAGCTGATCTGACTTTGTTTGTAGTTACATTTAAGGTAGATTTAGTAATTCACTCTTAAGGTAAGGACATGTGCCATGAGCACAGCTGTTTATATATGGACAGCTGGTTTGTACCTGGCAAAAACAGAGTAGCAAAGGCTACTATTTCTACTAATTAATTAGTAGCGATGACTTTGGTAGAAAGCATGGTGAGCTATCTCAATTATTGCTAGCTTTGACAGTAATGTTGAAACCAGCTCAAAAAATGTCAGCGCAACAGGGCAAGGCTCAGAGGAAAAGGAAGTGGGAGTATAAGCTGAGGTAAACCACAAGCATTCAGCCCCCCCCCAACTGAGCCTGAGCTAGTTACTATGGTAATCCTCATGTTCAGAATCTATTGAGTAGCTCATCAGATGGCGAAAGTGCTTTGAATTGTTATCTGTCAATGTGTTAAATGTGGAATGTGATGGTCTTGGAACCTGTGTTTGTCATTTAGCAACCACACCCTACAATAACCCAGTGGATGCAGTAATAGCTATAGAGACCTTCCTGCCACCAACTGCAGTTGCCCCAGAAATGCTTAAGGCTTAGGTGGGATCCATTTTGTTAGTATAATTTCCCCACAGCATTAATTTCATTCTATTGCTTGTCTATTTAGATTTTATCCCACATTTCAGGCAAAATGTTACCTTCCGAAGCAGCTTTAAAAAAATGAGAGGCAGTCCCTGTCATCACGTTTACAAACTAAGTCAAGGGAAGAGAAGTGGAAGGGGGGGGGAGGTAGAGGAGGGAGTTCATATTTCAAGGTCAGAATAAAGTGGTGAGCTATAAGTGGGCATTTATATCCAGTTGTTGCCAGGCTGCTCTTCCCTTGCTCCGCTGGTGTCCTTGCTTGCATAGTGGCTGGCAGCTCTTTTCTCCTTTGGCTGATGGATGGGGCTAGAGCAACCTTTCCTATTGCTTCTGCAGTCTTGGGACAAATGAAAGTCAGAAAAGAGTGGCATGTTTATTTATTTATTGCAAGTATTTATATGCTGCTATTTAAGTACCTTACCCTCACCAATGGAACCCAACACACATAAGACTGCTAGCTTTCCTTTTTCTAGATCAGTAGTTGGGATTTGGCAGAGCCTCCTTTGTACCCACAGATTGTCAGACAGTGACTTCCTTTATATTGCAGGCTTGTAGACCACCCCCTCATCTCTCAGTGAGTGCCAGCAGTTGAATCTTGCTGACCTGCTATGGCTCTCTCAAGTCAATGCCAGATCTACTAGAACCTTTCAATTCCTGCAGCTACCAGGGTCTCATGCTCATTCTGATTCCTCCTTGCATCACAACTTCTGCCCCTCCTTTTATCCCTAGCTTTTCCCCAGCAGCAGAAACGTATGCACAGCCAGCGGTGCAGAGAGGGGGAGAGGCAAGGGCGGGGGGGGGGGGGAGACTCCCCTGAGGCCCAACAAAGCTAAGGGTCCCACATGTTTTGGTGCATATTGCCTAAGGTTAGTGGACAAAGAAGATTGCACTTGTCTAATGTTCCCCTTTGACCTTCAGGACAGCAGCTAACAGAAAACCTATTCCCAGAATTCCTAAGCTGCTGTGCTTCCTTGCTTGAGGACTGCAAATTGGAACCAGGAACAATTCAGAGTCCCAGTACCAGGGGCAGACTTGAGTAATATGGTGCCCTGAGCAAGGACAACATTTGATACTCCCCCAATGATTCCTTATTATATTGCGTGCCTTCAGCTCAGTGTCCTGTGCTGAGGAATCACCTGTACCACCCTAAATCAGGCGCTGTCAGTACCCACTGCAAGCTTTGCCTATCTAGTGAATCATCATTGACTGGTATTCATGAACTTAAACATTGCTGATATTCCATGTACTTAGATAAGCTATGCTATCTACTGGGAGCAGGTGCAGAAGGACAATACATGAATAGCTGCACCTCAGCAGAGCCTCGTTCATCCTCATGTTCCCAAAACTATGATTTGTCCTAGGCTTAGATAACATCTCTGCAGCCTTGTATAGGGCAGCAGTCACTGCTGCAGCAGGCAGGCTGCCTCCTACAAAGTGCTGCTCCAGATAGCCACCTAAGATCAACTCTGTAAAAAAACATTGTCTGCTGATACATATGCCAGGAGTGTGACAAGTAGATGGGTTAAAGGCAACCTCTCTTTGAACAGAAATAATTGGTTGTGCAATGTTTGCTCCTAAGGAGTTTTCAGGCCACGTGACTGGAACAAAGCGAGTGTGAAAGGTCATTGTAAGTATAAACTGTAAGGTGAGTAGATGTCTCATTGGAGTACCATGTTGGATGGGAAGCAGTAAACACAGGAGTGCATTATTTGTAGCGTTATCATCCCAGAAGCCACCTCAAAGCCTTCTGTCGATACAGCTGTTTTCACATGGACTTTCAACCACTGCTTTTTTGCTTCAGCTTCACGGACCTGCTTATATGACACTGAATCTGAACTTTTAGCAATACCCTTCATTGCAAATTCCATCTACTTAGCCAATCCATTTCAGTAGAGAACCCTTTACCAATACAATGTTGTAACTTTTGCAAGCTGTTCTGCTCCTGTGGTTTTTCGTCATTTTTTTAAAAACAAAAAATAAAGTCACTGTGGTTAATATTTAGCAACATGCTCCCTCCTTCACTCTTTTCATTGTCTTTGCTCATTGGTCACTCCTCTCCTTTGTCTTAATTATCTTTACTAAAATAAAGCATATTTATGATAGCCCACACCTTGCAAAAGAAAAAAACATGCCGCTCAACGTGTGCAAGTCAAAGAAGCAGAAGACTCAAAATTCTTCCATTGCATTACAGTACTGTATTTGGGGGTTAATTTATTTCCTTGGGCTTTAACTTTTCAGAAATAATTAATAAATACTTCCATTGTTAACTCCATTATCTATTTTTGTTCCTTTTCCAGTTGCAAACTTTAAATTAATTTTACCATTCTGCCTTTTGTTGTCAAGTTCAAACCTTCTCCTTGCTTCCTTTTTAAAAGAAAGACTTCTGCCACACCAGTAGCCCTCATAACCCAATTGGGCTTCTGATGTCATAGACTGTGACTATGTTAGTGCCCTATAAAAGGGCATCGGGGTCCTTCAATGACAAGGTTTACTACACTCCTTCGTTCTTGGCTCCTATTTATTTTTCTCTGTCATGCTTCTTCATTTATTTATTGATATATTTATTAATTGCATTTAGAGCCTGCCTTTTACTCCAAAGAAGTAAAGGCAGTGTACATGGTTTTCCCAAGTTCCTTTTATCCTCACAACAACCCTGTGATGTAGGTTAGGCTGAGAGACAGTACGTGCCATGTATTTAACAAAATTTTAATCCCATTGCGCTCAGTGGGACTTCCTTGAAGATCAGTGGGTGTAATATTGCTGCCTTTAAAAAAGCAAACAAACCCTGGTTTTTCACAATTAAATTTGGCAAGTCCAACACTGGTGTAGTCTGGTAAAAGGTTGGGTAATTCATGCAGTGAAGCTAGGATTGCCATACGTCTGGAATTTCCCGGACATGCATGGAATACTGCATCCGGAAGCAGTGTCAGGGCAGAAATCGTCAAAATGTCAGGGATGAGGTTCCTCATCTTGATGTATTTGGTTCACCTGATTTCTAGAATTTAAAAGTCAGTGAAGCTAGCCAAACCTTATTGATTATCCTTAGTACTTGGTAAATGGGAGCATGCTATCTCTGAACATTAAAAAAGTATAAATATTTTATTAAAAAATATTAAAAAGATTTTTAAAAAGACTAGTGGAGGAAAGACAAGTGCATTAATGTTAGGAATGACAGATATAAATGAGACTTTTATGTTTAGAGGTAGAATACCTCTGGTTTCCACATACTGATAACAATAATGGGTTGGCTATCTTCATCATGTCCTGTTGTGAACGTTCCAGGGGAATCTGCTTGGCCTCACTGAAAACGCAATGCTGGACTAACAAGGCAAGCCTGTGCATGTTTACTCAGAAGAAAGTCCCACTATGTCCAACAAGGCTTATAGATCTTGATCTAATATAACAAAGTGATTCTTACCTTTTTTTAAGCTTGATGAGGGTGACAGTGGCATGTATGTATACAGAGCTTCACAAAGAACAGGTTTCACAAGTCCCTACTCCAAAAAGCTTGCAGTCTAAAACATAGAAGAGGGAAAGGGAAATGGAGGTAGGGGTAAATGGGAGAATGTGCAATTATTGCAACTCCATGAACTTTGGTTGTTCCAAAAGTCTTCTACAAAATAAATGAATTTTGAGGAGGGACGTTAAGGAAGGGAGGAGGTTGCAAAGGCCTTCTGGACGCAGTTCCAGGCATAATGGGCAGGAAGGCAGGAAGAGCAGAGTTGTTTCAGGATGCAGGAAACCTTTGGACAGCTAAGTGGTGGACAAGAGGAGGTCACAGGAAGGGATGCCTTGGAAAATAGAAGTGGAGAGAGAAGTGGGAGGGCAAGGCTGCAGAAGAGCTCTGAAGGGAGTAAGTTTGTGCAGGATCCAGTGGTGAAGAGAAAGCCAGCTTGCCTATTTAAGGGCACTTTCCCAGTCTTTTATCAGTACTGCAAGAGTCTTTGTTATATGTGACGTGTTAAACTTCAATAAGCGTCGAACAATTTTAATTTTGAAAAATATCGCTATTGCTAAATGGAAGTAGAAGACCTGAGTATTTGCTTTTAGATGTTTAAGGGCCAGTCTTGGAGAGAGCCCTATTAAATACAGTAGGTTTACTTCTGCTTGAGCATGCACAGGAGAACAGGCGAGTGCCCACTGTTTTGTTCCTACTCAGGGTAGGTTAATGGGGCTGAAAATGGATGGTAGGGATTTCTCCCCCGCCGCCACTCCACTCCTTGCTGCCACGCCTCAGAACAGCCAGGGAAACGTTCAAGATAGGCCCACAAAGGGCCCTACCCTTTCTCCGTGCACCTATTGGCCGCCCGACGTGTCAGTCTACGCTCCTCTCTGAATGAGGGCGCATTGGCTGAGCCCATTTCTGCGAGGAGGATGAGAGGCGGGCTAATATGAGAAGCGGGGGTTGAGGCGTCAGTTGAGGAGATTAAAAAAAAAAAAAGCGCCCTCCGCCTTCTTTAGCAGCACCGCCCTCCTCTTGCGTCGCCATTGGCGGGAGCTGGAGCTCAGTCAGAGCAAGCTGCCCTTTTTATTGGCCAGCAGTACAGCAGGTGGGTGTTGCTGTCCTTAGCCGCGGCCGCTCCCTCCCGGCTTGAAACCTCGCTGTTGCCGGTGAGTGTGAGGCGTTGAAGCTGGAACAGCGCGGCGGGTGGGGCGCTGCGACTCTCTCCAAAGGTGCCGGGTACCGAGTCTAGTCTTCCCACAGCGAGGAGCAGGAGCCGCGGCGGTTCGCCCACCCCACCCCCCAACCTCCCGGGCTTTGGCCAGACTCAGGTGAAATCCTGCTTCAGGGACGGCGCGGGACGGGACGGGAAGCACGCGAGAGATGGCGCTTGGCTTTCAGTTTGGCGCCGGCGGGTTGAGGTTCATCGCGAGGCGGGCGGGCGGGTGTGGCTTAACTTCTAGAATGCCTTTCTTTTGCCAAGCGGGCTGCAAGCCCAGGAAGTGCCACCCACTGTGGGGGCATCGGCTTTGGAGGGGGGTGGTGGAAGCGGGGTGGGGTGGGGGAAGGTGCAGCCATCATCTCTTGGCTTCCTTTCCGCCTGAGGTGGGGGAACGCTGTGCAATTGCCACGCACAGGATCCTTCCCTTCCCTTGCCGCACCGGCTACCTGTGCTTCCCCTCCCCCAAAATACCTCTTTCCCCTCCCCCCCACCGCCCCTAACCCCAACAACCCTGCAGGGGAAATGGCTTTAAGACTACAGCCTCTTGCCTCGCTGAGAAAGCAGCTTCTCTCATCCTCTGCTGCCTGTTACTATATCTTGCTCTTGTTGCAAGAGATTAAACCTGCTCGTTCTCTCTCCTCGGTTTGTAGCTGGGGTTGCACCCTCTAATCATCTAAGGATTTCCTGCCCCCCTCTCTCCCCCCTTTTTTTAAAAAAAAACAAAGCTGGGAAGTAACGGGCAGTATACCGCTTGGCAGCTGTCAGGGCTCCCGCCTGAGTCACGGGCTGACAACCTTGTTGCAGACATTGCAATGGGCTTGGCTTCCGCCCGCCGAGCTTGACTTCCTCATTCAGTTGGCGCTGCTTGAGTCAAGCCAGGAAAGGGGGAGGAGGGAGCGACGGGGCAAGACGAAGCTTGCAGGAGGAGAGTCTCTCTGGTAGATTTTGCAGCTGCCCCCGTTCTCAAATGGGACCAACTTCTCCTCTCTGTTCAGCCAACTTCCTTTGAATAAAAGGCGGTGAAATGCCCTGATTAAGCAACAACGGGCGTTTATTTCCCTTTGGCAGGGTGGTTCAAACAAGAGTCCAGCAGTCCCAGGGTCTGTATCTGGAAGGAGCAACTTGTGAAAAGGAAAAAGGAATGGGACAGGATTCCAGCTCATGTGTTTATTAGTTGAATGTGGAAAGTGGGAAAATGCTCTGAGGCATGCTACTTCTAGAATATTCTCCTGTGACAATTGTTACTCTTGGGGAAATACTCCAGTTGACTCTAAGCATTGCGATAACTGTGAAGCAAGGATTTTAGAAAGTGGGTTCTCTCTTGCTCTTGTCCCTTGATTGTTGCTATCTTTCAAACTTCTATTTGTGGTAGAGAGTCTAGGGGATCTGTATTGCCTGCCTGTTTTGGCTATCCCTTTTCTGTGGAGCAGAACTACTTGCTAGTTTCAATACTTAATTGATATAAGGAAAGTGCCAATGCCCATAGAGACCCCACCTTTTTTTTACTGGCTGTGTCTACTTTTTCATTTTGCTCTTGGTCTTGCCTTTACTTCCTTTCTGTGTATAATCTGTGACTCTAAGTTACTTCCAACCAATGTACACCTGGAGAGTGGAATCTGCTTTAAAAAGAAGCCCCTCCAGGGCCTGTTTGTAGACAGCAGCAGCATCCCTCTAGACTAGAGATAAGTGCATAAAGTAACATGCAGGTCTGACTTGCAGGCGTGCCTGAGAAATAAGGACTTCCCAAAGCATTCAGGATTTTACCAATCTGTCAGACTTGTGTGCTGCTGGCAAGCAAGATGTGACTTGCATTTTCAAAAAGTAGCATCTGAACTGGCAACAAATGACTCTCGTATACACAAGTTTTGTTTGTTTCGCGGTATAATTACCCTGCAAATAGCCGCAACAAAACTTGGCTGTTAGTGCTAACATGTGCATCTGTGACTAATGATTCTACCCATGATGAAACTCTAGTTTGAACTGCATAGGTAAAAAAAATATGCTGTGGCTAAAGAGAATGTATGAACCCTGGTCCTCGGATTAACACACTTCTACAACTTCTTAAAAATGTAGTTTCTTGCCTTAAGCATAGGTGTGACACAACAGAATCCAAAGTAATGACTGCGTAATCAGTTACTGCTTGTATAAAGATACATTATTAGTCACCAGGTGAAAAAATGCTATAGTTTCTTATCTTTGCCACTCCAGTGAAAGCTGCAAACCTTTGCACTGGCTAATACTCTCTGACTCATGGACTTGCTGTCTGGAGCTATGACGTTATACTTGTGTATTCAACTGAAATGAAATAATTGAGATAAATTCTAGTCACTTATCTCTGTGAATGTCTTGGAGGGCCAATACAATTAGCCTGCCATTTTGAGCCAAAAAGTATCATGTTAGTGGTTGATGTGAGCTGGCTTGTTTCTGTCAGTCTTTGAGGGCAAATTAGGCATATTAATGTAGCTTTTGGAAATAATTGCTCAGGAGAAAGCCTGTGTTGATGTAGAACTAGGAGGGTGTGTGGCTCAAGCGGTAGAGCATCTGCCTTGCCTGCAGAAAAAGGTTCTGATTCAGGGCTGGAAATGTTCCCAGTCTGAAAGAGTTTCTGCCAGTCCGTGTGGGCAGTACTGAGCTAGATGGACCAATGTTCTTGACTCTGTATAAGGTAGCTGCCTATGTTCCCATGTTACTCTGAGTCCTCCTTGTGGTTCTTGACTGGTTGCAGTAATAGTTACAAGTGCAACCTCCTTCCTGCTGCCTTGTCTAATGCAAAACAGTGTTATAGACACACCCAGTTATTAAGGTATATCCCCCACAGTATTTCTTTTCAATTGATACTGGGCAATGAGAAATATGTTTGTAGTCCTCTGCAGGCCAGTGCTATTATGGGTGTGTGGAACCTGTGGCCCTCTAGACGTTGCTGGATTCCCAACTCCCATCAGCCCCAGCAAGCATGGCCAGTGGTTGTGGATGATGGGAACTGTAGTTCAACAACATCTGGAGGGCTAGAGATTCCTCACCCCACAGCTATGATGACCTTCAACAGTGGAGAAGGTCCCTCAGTAAATGTAGGTAATGATTAACCGCCACAGGTGACCAAGGGAGTGTTCATCCTTTACTGCAGCCCCAGATTTGCTACCTCTTACACCTTGGACACCTTGGGACGCGGGTGGCGCTGTGGGTTAAAGCCTCAGCGCCTAGGACTTGCCGACCGAAAGGTCGGCGGTTCGAATCCCCGCGGCGGGGTGCGCTCCCGTTGCTCGGTCCCAGCGCCTGCCAACCTAGCAGTTCGAAAGCACCCCCGAGTGCAAGTAGATAAATAGGGACCGCTTACTGGTGGGAAGGTAAACGGCGTTCCGTGTGCTGCGCTGGCTCGCCAGATGCAGCTTGTCACGCTGGCCACGTGACCCGGAAGTGTCTCCGGACAGCGCTGGCTCCCGGCCTCTAGAGTGAGATGAGCGCACAATCCTAGAGTCTGTCAAGACTGGCCCATACGGGCAGGGGTACCTTTACCTTTTACACCTTGGATCAATCCAATCTACTTTTTGAAACTCTGGATATTTATTCCCCATCCATCTTCTCCAAAGAGTCCAGAGCAGATAGGGTGACTTGTAGAAGAATTTACACAGGATCAGTTAAACATGCCCAAATTAACTTTTGAATGATTTGGATTCAGACTAAAGGGGCAGCATACCAAGTCAGATATAACTTGGTCTGAAAGTACTTGGAATAAAAGGTAAAATTGTCTGAAATGTAACAGCAAAAGAAGCTGTCATCCATGCAAGCCTTATCTGTGTGTTTGAGGTTTCCAAGGATGGGGACAACTAGAAACTGAGGGTAATATCCAGTGTTTGTTGTGCTTAGAATATACATGTTGAAATTGAGAGATGAGTAATTTGTCCATTGATTTCACAGGTCTAATCCATGTATGACTAACACTGGAGATCTCCGTAAGAGTTACTGTAATTTGAGAGCCAGAAGTGACCAGTGAGTGAATAAGCATGCCCACTTAACTGCTATTTATTTTTCTAGCCTAAATTGAGACAGGCTTTTTGCACAGTACAGTCTTCTTATTTAATTCGTTATGCTTACTGCTGTGTCGTGCTTGGGCAGCATGTGACCTAAAAGTCCTGTATTCCATGAACTCCTGTTAATCCAGAGAGTTTGACTTGAATTTAGGGCTGGATGTGAAGGGAGAGTAGCACATTACATTCTCACTGCAGTTTTGAGAGTTAACTTTGGTACATGCTAGTCTTGTCCTGGATAGCTTCAGATCATTTCCCTTCATGCAGAACCTGAATTCTGTTCTCCTTCCTCCTTGTAAAGGAGCTCATCTTGATTTTGGATATGTCTCCCTTAAGGGTTCCAAAATTCCTCTGTTAAGAGCTACACTTGGAGCCTTTAATCTCGTATTGCAAAATACTGCCATAAGTGCTCTCTTAAGAGGAAGTCTTGGAGTTACTAGGAGTTACAAATACTTGGGGGAAGGAAGAAGTAATACAGTAGACTTTTGAGAAGAATTGGATGCCATTTATTAAATAATGGAATAGATGCTGGAGTATTTGCCATAACGGGCATTCAGCGTTCAAAATTAGCTGGGCGCCAGTCACATTTTGCGACTGGCAACTGGCCTCCTGCAATTGGATGGAGATATCAAGGAGGCATGCTTTGCGCCTAGCATGTCCATCTGCCTGGCTGTAGTCATCTGGTCTGCCGGGCACTCCC